ACTACTATGAAGGGATAGAATATGACTCTAAAAATGAAAAATAAAAAAGATTTTTTTAAAAAAGGGATTGATGTTGGTTGACAAAGGGAAAAAGAAAAATTCAAAAAAAAGTAAATTTAAAAAATTAAGTTTGAAAGAGTAAAGAATCATGGGAAAAAAGCCATGAATTCTATATGCAGTATTCCCTTAGCTCTGGAGTTCTGCGGTTCTCACTGATCGGTAAACTTGGTCTTGGCTGACTGTTCTTGCTGATCTTCTGGGGGTGGAGCTTGTTGGCAGTGGTTCTTAAATGTCTTTGCTGGAGGCAGAATTGCCCCGCCCTTGTTGGGGGCCGGGCTAAGTAATCTGCTTGGGTTTTCTCTTGGGAGCTTTTGTTCCCTGCAGGCTTCCCATACAGAGTGAAAATGGCAGCTTCCTAATCTCTGCCCTGGGAGAGCTGAGCGCTTGGGGCCCTACTCCTCAGTGCGCCCCCAGAGAAAAGTAGTTAGTCACTCCCATCTCCCTGGTCTCCGGCCGCACTCCCTGCTCACCCAGCCTGTGACCGAGCATTTCTATCTCTGGCACATGACCCCATGTGGTGTCTCCAAACCCAGCAGATCCCTGTGGTGCGCACCCGCACCACTCCTCCAGGGGTAGGAAGGGGAGTCTCCCTGATCTGCTGCTTGTTGGGTCCCTGCTGGAAGAGCAGTGGCCCAGCTGTGCCACGGATCACGGTTTATGGCAACCCTGAGCTGAGAGCCCGCTCCTCGGCTCCGTCTCTGCAGTCGGCTTCCCCACTCTGATACCTGGGAGCTCTGCCGCACTCAGGCACCTCGGTCTTTCTGTGTCCCCGAGGGTCCTGAGACCACACTGTCCCAGAGAGGGTTCCACCCCCCGCTTAGCTACTGGAGCGACATCCCTCAGCAGAGCCGACTTCTAAAATTTCCGATTTTGTGCTCTGCGGCTCTATCACTTGCCAGTAGCGGCTGACTGAGGCCCCCACCCCTGCCGTCTATCCTCCCGAATATTGCTTCACTTCTCCGCATGTCCTACCTTCCAGAAAGTGGTCGCTTTTCTGTTCAGCGAGTTGCTGCTATTCTTTTCTTTGATCTCCTATTGAATTTGTAGGTGTTCAGAATGGTTTGATCCCTATGTAGCTGAATTCCTGGGACCAGACCAAATTTAGGTCTTCTACTCCTCCACCATCTTGCTCCTCCCCCCTCCCACTGTTTATAACCTATTGTAATCCTTCAAGGCCCAGCTCAAATGTTACCTCTTTTACAAGATCTTCTTCAGCCCCTCCAGACAGAATTAGCACTGTCCTCCTCATAGTACTTATTTGCATGATTCTACTTGTATCATAGTAATTGATATTTTTCTCCTGCTGCACTGGTATGTTACATCTCAAAGCTTCTCCCTACCACTTACCCACACATAGAAGAAAGGCCCACAGTTGGCTGCTTGCCTATTTGTGAGGCCTCCCTGTCAATCCTGATTTATCCCCAGTTTTCTGCAGTTTCTGAAGCTGGTCTATATGTTTTCCTGTGGAAATGGATAGCTGGTTAAAGAAAGAGAGTGATAACTAAACTCTTGTTACCTGACCGGAGGTATAAACTCTCTCTTCAGAAAGCGTGGACTCTGGAAACAGACTTCAGAGTTTGAAAACTGGCTCTACCACATTAGTTTTGTGACACTGAACTTGTCTCAGTGCCTTAGATTCCTTATCTGTAAAATGGGACTAATAAGAGTTCACTAATTTATAGAGCTGTTTTGAATATAATGATGAGATAATCCTTGTGAAGCACTTAGAACAGGGCCTGGCACAGATAAAGTGCTCAAATAATGGTATCTCTTACCATTATCATCATTGTCATTATTATCATTACCATTTTCTCATTTTGTCAATAATAATTCAGCATATTCCAGAACCTAGAAATAGTTTCCCTTGGCATAGGGTCTAGTTCAGAGTCTCCATTGCTGCTATCATTCCATCCCCTATTTCCTTGCGTCAGGAAATGGTTCTTCCCCATGTGGAAGGTAGTGGCCTCTTTGAGATTGTGTATGTGGATCATCTTTATGAGATTGGACCTCCCTAAATGTATTGAGATGGTAACAATGCTGTTATGTCCTGAAGGCACAGCCAACCCCTGTGGTGTCTTCTAAAGTAGAGCAGGGATAAAATTTCCTAGGGTCTTTCTATTAGAAGAAAGTATTCAAATAGAAACATGTACCTGAGATGTTGGGCCTAAAGCATGTGAGAGAAGAAATTCATGTCACTGTTCACTTCATTGTTCTGAAAGGGTAAATGTGCTTAAGGTTACTCCTAAATGCTAGAGGTTTACAGGTGGCCTCTGCCATAAGCATGTCCTGGAAGCACGTGATCTAGTTATGTGGCTCTTTTGTGCTTATGTCCCTACTATTATTTGTGAGCCTTTGGTAAATTTTTGTTTGAATGTTCTAGTCTTATGGCAATTGTGGTAGGGTTAATAAAAGCAGGGCTATATACCTACCTTGCTACAGAGTAAGGAAACTATAGAGGGAATCCTTTTGGCCCTGATCCCTATAATGGTGGCAGCACTGATTGGTGACAGGTTCTCAAGGAGAAGAAAGTTCTCTGGGGAAAAAAGTCTTTGCAGCAAAACTTAGCCCTTCCTTCCCACATAAAAACTCTTACCTCACTGCCCTCTTAGAGCATAATAGCATAAGTAATAACTAACAATTACAGAGTGTTTATTATGTCCCAGGCACTGAAATAAGTATACCATCTCATGTAACCCTCACTACAACCTCATGAAGTAGGTACTATTATTATTCCCATTTTATTGAGGAGAAAACTTGAGGTATAGAGAGATTATGAATTTGCTCAAGGTCCTACAGTTGATAAGAAGCAGAACTGAGATTCAGACCTGGCTATCTGACTCCAAAGCCTGCATTTCTTTTAACATTTTACTATGGAGAGTTTAAAACATAAGCCAAAGTTAAAAAAAAAAATAAACAGTATAATGTACTCCCCATGTGCCTATCACCCAGCTTCAACATTTACCACCCATTATGTCCGTTCTTGTTTCATCTGTACCCCTACCCACATCCCCAACTAAGACACATGTATGTCATTTCATCCATAAATGTTTCAGTATACATCTCTAAAAGATAAGGACTTTAAAGCCAAAATTACGATACCATAATCATACCCGAAAGAAAACAAAACAAACAGTAATTCCTTAAGATCACTATCTAGTCAATGTTTAAATTCTCCATCATTTTTTTAAAAATCAGGATTCAACAAGATATATGTATTATAACTGCTCAACATGTTTCTCAAGTCTCATTTGGCCAAACAGAACCTCTATTCTTAACCACTACACTCTGATCTAGGTTTTCTATTATGAAGAAAGGTGACAGTTTCCTTACAGCAGGAGTTTTCAATCAAGGATGAACAGCTTTAAGGGACTCTATGAATCTCTTAAAATTAGTTTTTAAAATTTTTCATGTATTTGTGTGGGTTAATTTGTCTAGGGAGAGTATCCTTGGCTCTCCTAAGAGTCTCAAAGCTTTAAGTAAGACTCAGAACAACTGAAAAGTAGGTACTATTGTCACAGAAAATTGTGGACCACAAAAGCTAAGGGAAGAACATGGCTAGTTGGAGGTTTCTTTATGAGGATGGAGAATGAAGTTAAATTCTGTTAAGTTTATTAACTTTAAATTTGAGAGATTTTAACAAATTACTTTTGAGAGAAATAGAAATCATTAAGGATTAACTGGTGTCTCTTTAAAAAGAAGAGAATTATAATTGGGAACTCTTAAGTTCCTTTTAAATTACATATCCCTTTTAATAAAGCATCTTGGTATATTATGGTTTTACTAAATTGTGGTGGTGAAAATCAAACTCGCATCTTGAACTGAATTCCCTATTTTATGGGATCTGTGACTCCACATGAATTGGGCTAGATAGAGACTGATTTTGCGAGATATCAGTGATTTGTTCCACAATAATAGCTCCATTGACAATGTGTAAAATTTTTCAATATTATGTGTGCATGTATAAAAATGAAATGGTAATGAAGTTAGCTTTAATCTTCCCTCTTTGCACCACATTTTCCTAGATGAAATCCAACATCAAACACCCAATGGTATTATCGCCAGCAGTATGGAACCCCCCAAGCTACCACAATACCCCAAACTGCCTATTCAGAGGAGTGGAGAAGCTGACACTGGGAGGAAGTCTCCAAGTAGCAGGCCTGTTTCAGATGGCAAGTTGGAGTCCTGTCCTGAAGTGGATGTGGGGAAGCTGGTGTCTAGGCTGCAGGATGGAGGGACCAAGGCCATACCAAAGGCCACCAATGGACCTGTGCCAGGCTCTGGACCCACCAAAGCCCCCTCTTTCCACATAAAGAGACCAGCTCCTCGACCCCTGGCTCACCACAAGGAGGGTAAGTGCTTGGGAATCCCATTGGAATCAGAATTGAAACCAACTATTTTGCACCCTAATATCTTTCTGAGGTTGGAGATATTTAAGTAGGGATTTGTTTCCAGTTTACTACCACCAATATTGGAATGGTGGGTAAGAACATAAAAGCCATTCACAATAATCACTAGAGTGTAAACTTAATGAGGGTGGGGATTTGGGGCCTGTTTTATTTACTTCTATATCCCAAGTGCTTAGAACAATGCTTGACTGTCACAAGGTAAGCACTCATTGTAGAATAAATTAATAATAATAATGTTTTTATCAATATTATTATTGCTGCTGTTGCCGTTAAGTATCTGCTGTGTCCCTGGCACTGTACTAGGTACTGACAAATTATTTCCGATCCTCACAACCTTACTGTGAAGAATGTATTACTGGTTTTTTTTTTCTACTAGAAAGCTGGGGATCCTAGAGCTAAGTGACTTGCCAAAGGTTCACAGTTACTAACTAGCAGAGCTGGGATCTCAATCTTATCAAGTCTGGCAGGTAACAAAGCCTGTGTTATTTCCAATAAGGCAGAACTATCACTTTTCCTTTGTATAAGAAGCTTTGAAATTGGTGAACTGATGGTTTCTCATTCTCACTTTTCAGATTAGCCAAGATAGGGACAAAGGGACACAACTTCTGCAAAACTCTGGACTTTTTAAATTACAAATTCAAGATGTGGCTTACTTTGGTAAATTTAATTGGAGACTCATGTTTGGAGGTTGGGGCTAATCCAGAGAGTATCTGGAGGGCAGTACATAATTCTATGACGATAATATGATATAATGGACAGAATATGGACTTTGATATCAGAAAGGCTCAGACCCAAATTGTGGCTCTTTTACTTTCTAGCTAGATGCCCTTCTAAAAATGTGCCTTGTTTTTTATCCTGTCCTGTTCCAGAAAGAATTTAAGGCTTTCACAATATAGAAAATACAGGAACTTAAAAATAGTAAGAATAATTTATTCAACAAGTATTTATTGAGTACTTGTTGTGTGCCTGGCCCTATCCTAGGCATTAAGGACATAAGAATGAATAAGAGATACAAGGTCCCTACTCTCTTGAGGCTTATATCAGGGCTTAGTGAACTATGGCCTTAACTGAAAAATATCAAAAGAAAAATAATATGTCATGACTCATGGAAATTATATGAAATTAAAATTTCTGTACCCATCAACAGAAACACAACACCTCATTTACATATTGTCTAAAGCTACTTTCACACTAAAACAGCAGAATTAAGTAGTAGCAACAGAGATCTTATGGCCTACAAGTCCTAAAATATTAGCTATCTGATACTTTACAGAAAATGCTTGCTGACTTCTGCCTTAGATTCTAGAGAGTACAGGTGAGAAAAAATGAAGCCAAGAGAGGGAAAAAAGGTAGGATAGTAGGGATATGGAAAGAATGGAGTTAGTACACAAAATGTTTGCTATGAAGCCTTACACACTTGCTGGAACAGTGTCACAGATTTGGCTCCAAACTTTCTAGAGAAAATGAAAAGCGAAAGAACTTAATAGTCATGTAAATCCATGCTCTTAAGGTAACAACAAGCAAGTTGTTCAAAAAAGCACAACTCATCCATTTTTGAAGCCAGAGAATATTTCTAAGAAGCATTTTCTCTCAAGGATTGTTGCATATAAAAACCTCAATATGGGCTGATTGCATTGTCTCAGAGCACAATTCAATAAAAGCTATTCTATGGGGGTCTGATAAGATTTCCACTAAGTAACTGACTCTGTGAATTCTTTGGCTTGACCCAGTGATGCATTTGTCTGTATGATTAATAGTTAAGTTATTTAAAATCTGCACACCTTGGTTTCTATATCTATCTATATCTATATCTCCTATAAATAGAAACAGCTCATCCCACAGAATTATTGCTAAGGTTAAAAAAAATAACAAAATATCTGCCATGTAATCAGTATTCAAAATATGTTATTAATTCCCTTTCTCTGCCCTTGCCCTTCCTAAGATTTGCCTATTCAAGGAAATAGCCAATTAAGACCAGACTTCTATGTGGACACAACTTCAATTTATAAGTCATGTGTTGACCTTCACATCAATCTGTTAGAGAGTTGGGTAACTCAAGTTATATTCATCACAGTGAAGTTTGTCTTGCCTGCTGCCAAGTCTTGAGGTCAGCCAGATCCTGTAAGTTTAGCACACACAGTAACAGCCCTCCCTAACCATCATCTACTGCAAAGTTAAATTCCAGAGGCATTCCCCCTTCCCCTTCCTCCACAGTCCTGCTCCAGACTTCTGGCAGCAACTAATAGTTTCAGTCAATGAAAGTACTGATCTTGCTGTCAAGTATCAGCCAACCTATCTAAGTTTGGGCCACATCATTGCCTGCTTTTGCTTTCTGTCTTAAATCAGTCAGCAACAGGCTAGGGTGATGCAGCTTTTTTCAAAGCCCTATGCCTCCAGCCTTAGCCACAGAAATCAGAACTGAGGTAGTGGTTCTGGCCTTGGTGGAAAATCGGCTAAACTTCTGCCTCTTTGCTGGTTTTTTTTTTTTCAAGTTTTTATTTAAATTCCAGTTAGTTAACATACAGTGTAACATTCATTTTAGGAGTAGCATTTTGTGATTCATCACTTAAATATAACACCCAGTGCTCATCACAAGTGCCCTCCGTAATATCCATCACCCATTTAGCCCATCCCCCCACACACCTGCCCTGCAGCAACCCTCAATTTGTCCTCTATAGTTAAGAGTCTGATTTATGGTTTGCCTCTCTCTTTGTTTCCCCGTATGTTCATCTGTTTTGTTTCTTAAATTCCACATAATGAGTGAAATCATATGGTACTTGTCTTTGACTGACTGACTTATTTCGGTTAGCATAATACACTCTAGCTCCATCCACATTATTGAAATGGCAGGATTTCATTTTTTTGATAGCTGAGTAATATTCCATTGTATATATATACCATGACTTCTTTATCCATTCATCAATCAATGGACATTCAGGCTCTTTCCATAATTTGGCTACTGTTTATAATGCTGCTATAACCATCAAAATTCTAGAGGAAAACACAGGCAGAAACCTCTTTGACATTAGCCGTAGCAACTTCTTACTTACTGTGCCACTCTCATGTCTCCCATCTCCATCCCTTGTATCAATCCAACATTTGAGTGGACTTGATATTCTTTACATTTTTCCTTAGCAATTAAAAATAGCACACACAAGGTGCATGTTAAATTGCATTGTTCCATGGCAATCAACTTACAATAAAAATCAGTATTGTTTGCTGATATAATTTAGTCAAGGACTCTTTTTTTTCCAGACATAGAACTAGATGCTTTCTCTTTTTCTATTGTATTCTATTGTGATAGACCTATGAGATAGGTTTTTCCCCTCATTTCACGTTTATTTCCCCATTAAGGAAAAACTGAGGCTCAGAGAAGTGAAACAACTTCCCAGAGTCACCCACGTTGTAAGATATGGAGACAGAGCTTGAACCTTGGCTTCTTTTGAGTATCACATTTTTATTTCTTAAACATCTTTAGCTACTTTCTCCTTTCTATTTTCTAAAAAGCATTAGCTTTTAGGAGAGCAAAATTATACAAGCCAATATCCTGCCCTCCTTTGACAGCACTGCTTCTAACCAGGCCTGGCTTTGGAGAGGGCTTTTGTGTAGTTTCTACAAAGGGACTTAGGATGTTCCTTTTGAGAGTAGGGTGGGGAAGAGATCTACTTACATGCATTTGTTCATTTATTCGGGCATAGTGCTATGCAGTGGGAGAGAAAAAGATGAAAGGCCATGCATGGTCCCTGCCCTCCAGAGGGCAGAGGATGGTGAGGCTGGCATGTAAGCAACCAGTCCCAGTCCAGTATGACCCATGTTCTGACGGGGGTGAGAATAAATTCCTGTTGGAGCATGGGGCAAGGAGCGCTTCACTCTGCCTTGGGTTCTGAGATAAAAGTGAAGCATATATCCACACTGGAAACCTATAATACATGTGTTTAGGATCCCTTCTTAACTCTTTCCTCTGTCTTGACCAGAGAGAAAAGACTACATTCTGATGGTGTGTTCTAGGGTTTGGAGAAAGAGTGCTTGTAAGGCCTTGCTCAGCTACAGGGCCATCAATTCTCCACTGGGTTAACTATTGCAGTGAGTAGCATTTGGATCAGCTCCAGAAGCATTAGAAACAGACCTGTCCTTGAAATAATTGGCTGTGCTGGCCTTTATCCACATTTGCTTGTTTGGATTCATTATGCTTTAGTAATCTACTGTGTTTGGTTTTCATGCTCTGCCTTTCCTGGAGCCTAACTCCCAAGTGATCCAAAAGAGTAATTAGTGGCTACAGGAGAAGAGAGGCTTTCAGGTGAGCATGGCAGAATTTCATAGAAAGTAAGAAATGATTCTAGAAAACTAGGGGAATGTACAAGGAGAAAGAACCTCCCCTTACCGTGCTTTCAGATTTGGTGTAGATGGATATAAGAAAAGGTGGGAGAAAGTTGTTTAAGGTTGAAGACTGATAGCCATGAGGTACTAAGAAATCAACAAGTGCTAAGATTGGTTATAGTCATTTTACAGAGAATGCGGAGGGAGAGAAGATGTTGGGCTGGAGAGGGAGGTAAAATTTGTAGTAAAAGTCAGGTGTGGACCAAAGTTAAAAAGAAATTAAGAGGAAGTACAGTTTGGTAGAAAGATCATAGGCTCAGAAGGCTTAGTGAAGTCTCAGATGTGACAAGCTTCAGTCTCCCAGATAGGATTTTGAATCCTAGCTCTGCCTCAGAGCTGTGGGACCTTTGGCAAGCCACAACCTCTCTGAGTCTTAGTTTTCTTATTTGTAAAATGAAGATAATAATTATGCCCATAGGATTGTTACAACAATGGAATGAGGCATCCATTTGCTTGGCACGTAGTGAGTACTCAGTAAGTGGTAGCAGTTGTTTTGCTTTTATAGGAAGCTAAGTACTAGCTACATAATCTTAGATAAACTTAACTTCTTTGAGCCAGTTTTATTA